CCCGAACCTCCGGCTGAGTCACTGACGTCCTCACATCGTGGGTTAAAGACACCAAGTTACAGAGACTCCACCACTGACACTAGTTCTAGACTGCGAGTGACCCGTGTCCTACGCTGCAGAGGAAAGTGAACCCCCCCCCCCCCCCAGGGTCTCGGCCAGTCTGACCTCGGGGAAAAATTCCTTCCCAACCCCAAATACAGCGATCAGTTAGCCCTGAGCGTGTGGGCAAGACCCACCAGGCAGGTACCCGGGAAAGAATTCTCTGTAGTGACTCAGAACCGCCCCATCTAGTGTCCCGTCTCTGGCCGCTGGAGATTTTTGCTACGGGCAGTCGCATGCCATTGTAGGCAGTCCTGTCATACCAGCCCCTCCATACACTTATCAAGCTCAGTCGTGAAGCCAGTTAGGGGGTTTGCCCCACTGCTCCCCTTGGGAGGCTGCTCCAGAAGTTCACTCCTCTGATGGTTAGAAATCTTCCTCTAATTTCAAGCCTAAACTTGTTAATGGCCAGTTTATAGCCATATGTTCTGGGTCCACATTGGCGCTTAACTTAAATAACTCCCCTCCCTGTCTGGTATGTATCCCTCTGATGTATTTGTACAGGGTGATCCTATCTCCCCTCAGCCTGCGTCTGGTCAGGCTAAACAGGCCAAGCTCTTTGAGTCCCCTCTCGTGAGGGAAGTTTTCCATTCCTCGGATCATCCTAGCAGCTCTTCTCTGCACCTGTTCCAGTTTGAATTCATCTTCCTTACAAATGAGAGACCAGAACATCTTTGCCAGAAGCTGGGAATGGGCGACGGGATGGATCACTTGATTCCCTGTTCTGTTCATTCCCTCTGGGACACCTGGCATTGGCCGCTGTCAGAAGACAGGATACTGGGCTAGATGGACCTTTGGTCTGACCCAGTCTGGCTGTTCTCATACAGTACTCCAGATGGGTCTCACCAGTGCCTCGTATAATGGTACTGACACATCCCTTTCTCCACTGGAAATACCTCGCCTGATGCACCCCAGGGCTGTGTTATCCTTTTTCATGGCCACCTCACATTGGCGGCTCCTAGTCAGCCTGTGATCAGCCAATACACCGAGGTCTTTCTCCTCCTCTGTCACTTGCAACTGAGAAGTCCCCAGCTTAGAGCAAGAATTCTTGTTGTTGGTCCCTCAGTGCACTTTGCACTGTTAAATATCATCCCATTTCTATTACTCAAGATTACAAAATCATCCAGATCTTCTTGTAGGATATTCCGGTCCTTCTCCATATTGGCAACGCCTCCCCACTTTGTGTCATCCCCACATTTTATTAGCGTGCACCCACTTTTTGTGCCAAGCTCAGTAATAAAAACGAGGGCTGTCAGGCGATTAAAAAAATTAATCACAATTAAAAAATACCTATATGTAAATACCTTGCAAGCCGGCTCCAAAAGTGCCATGCGAACGCCTGTTCTCACTTTCTGGTGCCATTGTAAATAAGAAGCAGGCAGCAGCATCTCCTGTAAACGAAGAGAAACAAGTTTGTTTATATTTAGCGATTGGCTGAACAAGGAGGAGGACTGAATGGACCTGTAGGCTCTGAAGTTTTACGGTGTTTTGGTTTTTTGAATGCAGTTGTATAACCATCTACATTTGTTTAAGTTGCACTTTCACGACAAAGAGATTGCACTACAGGACTTGTATGAGGTGAACTGAAAAATACTCTTTCTTTTGTCTGTCATTTTTACAGTGCAAACATTTATAAAAAAAACTATACACTTTGATTTCAATTACAATACAGAATACAATATATAGGAAAATGTAGAAAACCATCCAAAATATTTAATAAATTTCAATTGGTATTCTATTGTTTAACAGTGCGATTAAAACTGTGATTAATCGCGATTACATTTTTTGAGTTAATTGCGTGAGTTAACTGCAATTAATCGACAGGTGTAATCAAGATGTTAAATAAGGTTGGTCCCAAGACCGATCCTTGAGGAATTCCACTAGTAACCTCCCTTCAGCCTGACAGGTCACCTTTCAATAGGACTGGTTGCAGTCTCCCCTTTAACCAGTTCTTACCCACCTTTCAGTTCTCCTATCAATCCCCCTCTTCTCCAATGTAACGAATAGTTTCCCATGTGGAACTGGATCCAAAGCCTTCCGGACATCCGGGTAGATTGGATCCACTGCACTTCCTTTGTCTAAAACATCAGCTCTCTTCTCAAAGAAGGAGCTCAGGGTGGTCTGGCAGGATCCACCTTTTGTAAAACCCTGTTGTAGTTTATCCCAGTTACTGTTCACCCCATGTCCTTAACAACTTCCTCTTTCAAAATTGGTTCCAAGTCCTTGTGTACAATTGAGGTCAAACTAACAGGCCTGGAGTTTCCCGGATCACGTTTTTCCCCTTTCTTAAAAACAAGAGCTATATTAGCAGCTCTCCAGTCATAGGGTACGACCCCCGAGTTTACAGAGTCATTAAAATCCTTGGTGTTGGGCTTGCAATATCAGGAGCCAGTTCCGTTAATGTGTGGCTGTGTGCTGGATGTGGGGGGAGATGTGCCCGTTGCGGCGTCAGGGGAGTTGTTTGGGGGGGTTGGGGTACATGCACTGGATGGGGGTTTATTGTCTTTGGGGGGCAGCTGTGGGGAGAGGTGCCCCCTGCCTGGCCGTCACAGCTGCTGTCTCCCCTCCCCCCCAGGGGCGGATCTGGACGTCAATGAGATTGGCCCTGTCACGCCCCCCCGGCCGGAGCGGCCTCACGCCCCACGCCTCCCCCAGGGCCCCTGCACTGACTGGCCGGAGGAGGAGCCGCAGCAGCAGGGGGCAGCGAGAACGTAGGTGGGGGGGACTGCGGCACGGTTACCGTGGGGGGTGTATGGGGGGAGGGGACAGGGCTCTAACGAGGGGTGCGGGGATCGGGGTGGGGGCAGGGTTACCATGGGGATATATGGGGGGAGGGCTCTAATGGGGGGTGGGGGCAGGGTTACCATGGAAGTATATGGGGGTAGGGCTGTAAAGGGGAGATGGGGGCATGGCTCAGGCTCTGTGGCCTCTGGCTTTGGGGTCTGTCCCCTGGGGGGGGGGGGGTCACTTATGGGGCACAGCTTCCCAGGCCCCCTTCACAACAGCCCCCATCTCACCCCCTGCGCGCTTGCTTGCTCACTCTCTCTCTCTCTCTCTCTCTCTCTCTCTCAGGGTCCGGGACGAGTCCCCCTCTCCCCCTCCCCCACCACAGCCCACACGCAGGCAGAGGGGCCGGACCCGACGGTGAGTAGCTGCCCAGATGTGTGGGGGGGTGTTTAGGCTGGGTGTGGGGGTCTCTGCTGGAATCTCTGCCCTGTCAGGAGTTGGGGAATTGAGGGACAGGTTCTCTGGGGGGCACCTCCCTTGTAGAGAGCGGGGAGGGTCTCTGGGGGGGATCTGCCTGGGGAGTCTCTGGAGGTGGGGAATGGGGGGAGTCTGTCAGGGGTCTGATGGTCCCTGACCCCAGGGAGGGGGGTGTGTGTGGGGGAGTCTGTGGGGCACAGGGATCTGTGGGGTCTGATGGCCCCTGCCCCCAGGGAGGTGTGTGTGGGGGGGGGGGGTCTGTGGGGCACAGGGATCTGTGGGGGCTCTAATGGCCCTGCCCCCCAGGGAGGTGTGGGGGGGTGTCTGGGGCACAGGGATCTGTGGGGCTCTAACGGCCCTGCCCCCCAGGAAGGTGTGTGGGTGGGTGTCTGTGGGGCACAGGGATCTGTGGGGGCTCTAACGGCCCTGCACCCCAGGGAGGTGGCGCGCCAGCTGCGGGGTCTCAGCACGTGGCTCTCGGCTGCCCAGCGAAGCCTGCGGGAGGAGCCGCCCGAGGACGACGTGATCCTGGTGGAGCCGCCCCCATCCCCTGCGCCCCGGCAGCTGCAGCTCAAAGTGCGGTGCCGGGCCGAGATCCACCGCGTCGCCATGGAGACGGTGAGTGACCCCCCCCCACCCCCTGCACCCCCACCTCTCCGCTTTTCCACATCCCCATGTGGCTGGAGAGTGAGCCCCCCATCCCCTCAACGTGTGCCAGGCCCCTGTGCAGGCCGTATATATCCCCCATGCCACCGCCCAGCCCCACAACCTTTCCCCCCCGCAGACACTGTATCTGCAACCCTGCCCCCACAGCCGGGCTCTGAGCTAGCCCCTGCCCCAGCGTGCAGACCCCGGCCATGCCCTTGCGGGGCGGAGGATCTCGGGGAAGGCAGAGCGCAGATCACAGAGCGCACCGCTCAGGCGGGTGTGGGTAGGGCATGGAAGGTGCCGGGGCAGGATAGGGGGCAGGACAGCGGCCAGGTGGAGGAAGGGTGTCAAGGGGCTGGTTCACTCCCCCCCAGTCCCAGTGTAGAGGTGGGAGGACGGGGTGGGATTAAGACTGATTACAGGGGGCGGCGGAACTGCCCGACACTGGATCTCTCGGAAATGGCTCAGGGACTGTATGGGCCCAGCTGGAGTCACTCGGGAGTGAATGTACCAGGCGATTGGCACCTGCCGTGCCAGCCCTGCTGCCTGGCTCACGCTGGCCCCGAACAGCCCAGCAGGCTGCCAGGCTGAGCCGGGCTGTCCCCCTGTCCCTCCCTGACTGTCCCCTTCCCCGGCGCAGTCACAGCCCCTGCAGGCGGTGGTGGAGCACATGGCCGGGAGGCTGCAGGTCCGGCCGGAGCAGATCCTGCTGCTGCTGCGAGACACAGAGCTGCCCCCCGGCAGCACCCCCCAGGGCCTGGGCCTGGGCGTGGCCGACATCATCGGTGAGTGAGGGGCAGGGGGCTTCTCTTGGCACAGGTGCAAACTGGGGCCTCGCTGGCTGGGGCCGCACTGCGGGGCAGGGTCTGTGGGCAGAGCGGGGCAGGCGCGGACGGGCCGCGGTTGTGGGACAGGCGGCTCTCGGCTGGGGGTGTGAGCAGCAGCGCTGTATGTGAGACACGGCGGGAGCTGTCCCACGCGCGCTGGGCAGGCCCAGCTGGAATGCCGGGGGCAGCTCTGGGCACCGGGCGTTAGCCAAGTGGGGACAAAGGGGAGAGTCCAGAGCCGGGGTCCGAAACCCTGACCCGAGGAAGGTTAAAACCCGGGTGAGTTTAGACCCGAGCAGCCAGAGGGGTCAGCTCTAGCGAGGGCTGGTATCGGAGCCATGGGAAATCCCGTCCATGTGCCAGACCCCCTGGGGTCTCCCTCCCGCCAGGCTCGGCCACGCGGCCTCACCGCCTTGGACTGAACCTCTGGGCTCAGCCTCCTGCTTCCCCCGTGAGCTCTGCCCAGCGAGTCCCGCTGAGCCAGACCCTGGCAGAGACGTGCCCACGCTGCCGGGACGGTGCCCCTCGCCCAGCATGGCAGGGACAGCTCCACAGCGCTGGCACGCAGTCGGGTGTGTTAGCTGGGCACGGCACAGGGAGCCCTTAGGGTAGCGCAGAGGGGTGCAGGTTACAGCCCAGTCTGTTCTGCTCAGCCCAGAGCCCCGCCAGGCTGTGGGGAGCCCCTCGGGGCAGGCTCTGTCTCGCTCACTCGCTCTCTGACTTCCTTCCTGAGTCTGTTCCCGGGTGAGAGCCCCCAGCGTCCACCTCACCCCTCCCAGCCCCTGGTTCCCCAGCCGGGGTCTGTGCCCAGCTTCCCGCTGAGAGCGTGGGGCCAGGAGTCAGGAGCGCTGCCATCGGCTCTCTGGCCCCACTGCTGATCTGGGGCGGTTTCAGCCAGTTCGTTAATGACTGTTCGTTCCACCAGCCAGGGCGGTGATGCGCATACCCCGTGTCTTAGGCTGCCCTGAGAGCAAACTTAGTCCTCCCCTGGCACTGGGTAGCCGTGCAAAGTATAGGGGAAACCGAGGCAGGCGTGAGACTCCTACAGATGCTACAGAAAATTCCCTGTTCGTCACAGGGATCAGTTATTCTCCGTGTTTGCTGGAGGCAGGACAGGCAGTGATGGGCTCCGTCCACAGCCAGGGAGATTTAGGTTGAATATTAGGAACCAGTGTCTAACCGTAAGGGGGGGAGCTCGGCCTGGAACAGGCTGAGGGAGGTTGGGGAGTCCCCCGCACTGGAGGTGTCTAAGAACAGGTTGGACAAACAGCTGTCAAGGCTGGCCCAGGTTTGCCTGGCCAGGGGCTGGGCGCAGTGACCCGTCGAGGTCCCTTCCTGCCCCACATTTCTGTGTTCTGGGGGCGCCCGATGCTGCACACGGCTTTCCAGCGGAGCTGTCCCGACAGCATCTCTGCTGCACCCACCTGAGCCGTCCTGGGGTCCCCTTGCCTGCCCCATGGCCGCCTCCCACTGGTGGCTCATGGTCGCCCCAC